TCTACTAAGTTTTAAGTTTTCAACTCTCCTGTTAAAGGTAAAATTCTTCCGATGTTGTATTTTAAATTTAAAGAGGTATTTTCTTACGAGAATGATTTCTAAAAATAATTTCATCTTTTCGCGCCGATTTTTCCAAACTTATTTAGAAATTCAAATTTAATTTATATTATGCAAATGGGACTTCTTGAACATCTTAAGTGTATTTGTAAGGACATTTGGAATTGTATATCATGGGAATTTTGTTGTTAAGAGTGAGATGGAAAATATGTGGGAACAAGGTGTCGTATGTGCTGAAAGTTCTAAAGTTGAGATTATGATATGAGAAATCGAGGATTGAAATGGTCGAGAGATGGTGTATTAAACTTAATGGGAGTGATTGAGTTGACATTGTTTCTTTAGTTGGGATAAATTCTTACTTGTCTCAGTCTCCGCTATATCAGCATTGAGTTGTTTGGCTTATCTGATTTACGTGATCTCCGTTCGTTACTATCCATGTTCTCCCTTTATTGTTTATACTGTTTGTACCTGGATTTCTCTTCGCAGTTGGTATTACTTCGTTATCTTTATCTTGATGTTTATTATCATATCCTGTTAATCTTAATTGACCAGTAGGTGTCCTGACTGTTCCTTGTCACTAACCCACCGAGGTTAGTCTTGATACTTACTGGGCACCGCCGTGGTGTGCTCGTACTACACTTCTGTATATTTTTTTGTGTACAGATCCAGGTATTGATCGATAGTAGCTGTGCGGGTCATCGCAGTGGAGACTCACGGTAACCTACTGCTGCGTTTGCAGGTCTCGGAGTCACCTTCAATTGTAATTATTTCCACGTGCTCTTTGTTTCGGGGCAGAGATGTATTATTTTGTGTAATTACTCTTAGATGGGCTTGTGACTTGTACCACCGGTTTTGGGGAAATTTTGGATTATTCAGAGTTGGTTAATTTAAAGTTAGAAAGCATCACTGTTATCACAGTTTATGTTGGGCTTACCTAGTTTAGAGACTAGGTACCATCACGAAACCCAACGGAGGGAAAATTGGGTCGTGACAAAACGTCAATACAACACAAGGGGGGGGGGGGGTGATTTGTGTGGTACCCAATTTTCGTTCTACAAGAACATGGTTCTTCTAGGTGTACTAACTGTACTGTTTGCGGAATAATAAGTACATAAAATAAAGAACACAGAGATTTTTACGTGGAAAACACTTGGCTCAAAAGGTGAAAAAACCACGACCTACTACTCAGTAGGATTTTCCCAAACTTCCACAAAAATCACTGAGCCAAAACAGCATTTACAAAACTCTTTGTAAACCTAAGGATTAACTCTAATCCCGTTGTAGCACACAGCCTCAACTGTTGCGACAACTTCAAGTTAGCATATAACTTGAACACTCTAAGTACCTAATACAATTGCTTCTATGAAAGCTGAAAGGTACAAGTTTAAATCACCTTCTACAATTGAACTAGAAATAAAGAAAGACACAATGGAATTGGTTCTTCTATCCCGTTCAAGTAGCTTCAGGAGTGCACACTCAAATCTCACATAAATTTCTTCCAAAATTGCCTTGCTCTTTTGCTCTCAATTTAGTTTAACTTCTGCGTATGTTCAATACCTGTAAAAGAGAACAATCACTATTATTTAATGAGTTACTAATTAGAGTTTGATTAAGACTCAATTGCTGATCTTCCATCGAAGTTGAGTCCTTGAACAACACAAACTCCAACACTATCTTTTATCCGGATTGTGTTCTCTTCACATAAGGAGACTTTCTCTCCTTATCCAATATGCAATCGTTTCGATCAGATCAGGAGATATTGCTGCTTGATCAATGAGACTTATCTCCTTCACGTGCATCTCACATGTGTAGGTTGATCATCACTGTGCTTCACATGATGGACCTGGTCCATGACTGAGTTCATTTGTCATTCTTCAAAATTTCACCTGTTCTTGGGCCAACAGTAGTTCTAGGTGTTACTTTGGCGATTTGATCGCGCGAGCGAGTTCGTATGAGGTTTTTGGACTTGTGTGCATATTTAGTTTGGAGCCTCGAGGGCTCGGGTGAGTTTCGGATAGGCTACAAAGTGAATTTGGAGTTAGAAAATAGCTGGTGCTCTACTATTTCTTGTGCAGGACATAGACCTCGCGATTGTGAGGTCTAGCTTCGCATTTGCGATAAGGCAATCAACATGTCAGGTTCGCAATTGCGAGCTACTCCCTCGCAATTGCGAAGAGTAGTTGGGCACCATGGGTTCGCGTTTGCGAACAATTGGTTCGCATTTGCAAAGTAGTACTGGGGTGGGAATGGTTCGCAATCTCGATCAAGGGGTCGCAATTGTGGAAGTCCCAAGCTTGTAATTGCGAACAAAACCATCGCATTTGCGATGGTAGCACAGATGGGGGACCTTTGCAATTTTGAAGGATTTCTCGCATTTCCAGGGTTCGCAATTGCGAACCCAGGTCGCAATTGCGACATCTGCGCTTGGACTTAATTTCCAAAAACGGGATTTTAGTTTATTCTTTCAAATTTTCAAACCTAGAAACCTTTGAGGTGATTTTTCCAAGATCCCTTCTTCCCCAATTCATTAGTAAGTGATTCTAACGTACTTTCTTTCAATTACCCATTACATTTCATGAGATTTCAACCTAAAATCTATGATTTTCATGGTAGAATTTGGAGATCTGGCTTAAATTAGGAATTTTTGTAAAATTGGAATTTAGACCTCAAATTGAGATCGAATTTCGAAACAAGTTGCAGAACCGGGCTCGGGGGTGAATGGATAATCGGATTTTTGGTTCAAATTTCTGGTTCGGACCAAGCGGGCCCGGGGGTTGACTTTTGTTGACTTTTTCAATAATGACCTAAGTTGAACCTCTTTCATTCGTGGGTAGTTCCTAAGGCTTATTTTGAATCATTTGGTTGATAATTTGCTCGATTTGGTTGGTTCGGAGGCCTGTTCGAAAGGCTATTCCGTGGTTGAGCTTTGAGTCAATTTTGGAGTGAGGTAAGTGTCATGGTTAACCTTGACTTGAGGGATTAGGACTTGTTACCTATTTGCTACATGTTTAAATATTGGGTACCACGTCTATGTGAGGTGACGATTTCTTATGTGTTGTTGTTGGGTTAAAGCATGCGGGTAAAAGGACTTGTTTCTTGTAATTTATTTCTTTCTTTGATCATGATATCCATGCTTAGACTAGTTTATTAATAAATTAATCGTTCTTTCTACGTTTATGGGTTATTTGTGATTATTGAGTATTATTTCTAAAGTTGAAGTTGGTATTGTGGAACCATTACTGATGTAAGGTTTATTCTTGCTTATTATATCTCCCAATTGTTATATGTTCATTTTTACATGGTAAGGGGGAGTGTTAAAGCACGAAGAGTGATGCCGTGCCGATTGTTGTTGCAATTATTGATTAATTCATAATGAGGAGGAGAGTTAAAGCACGAAGGGTGATGCCGTGTCGTTTATATTATTTCATGATGTAAATGAGCGAAAAGGCAAGTAGGGTGATGTCGTGCCGTATTTATCATTTTATGGAGAGATTGAGAGTAAAAGCATGAAAGGTGATGTCGTTCCATTATTACTGTTTCATGGTGAGGTTGGGAGTAAAAGCATGAAGGGTGATGCCGTGTAATTTTTATTAATTATGGTTATCCGTTTCATTGGCTGAAGGTTTATTGAATATTTCATGTTGTCATTCCCTTTTGTGGTTACCGTATCTTGTACCCCTTTTGCATGTCCCCTCCTAATAGTACATGTTAAATCCTTATTTGTTGTTATGTTGTACATATATTTTCGTCTGTAGAGGTTTAATTACGAGGGTGCCCTGTCATAGCCTCGTCACTACCTCGTTGAGGTTAGGCTCGACGCTTACGGAGTACATTGGGTCAGTTGTACTCATACTACACTTTGCACTTCTTGTGCAGATTTTCGTACTGGTCCCAGCTCTTCGTGAGGTAGATCAGCTCGGATTAGCATTTGGAGACTCAAGGTAGATCTGCTGGCGTCCGCATACCTGAAGTCCCCTTCATCTTTCCCTATTTACTGTTCCTTTCATTCGACTGTTGTACTTATTTCAAACCCTATCTGTAGAAACTCTAGAAGCTCGTGTTCTTGTGACTCCTGATCTGGGTTGTAGTAGATGATTGGGTTATTATGCTATTTCGTACTTCATTTTAGCTTAATTTCTATCTGATTGGTTAAATTGTTCAAAGTGTTTAAAATTGGTAAAAGAATTACTCTAACATTGTCTTGCCTAGCAAGTGAAAGGTTAGGCGCCATCACGGTCCCGAAGGTGGGAATTTTGGGTCGTGACACTCTATTTCTTGGATTCTTAATTGATCGTATGCACCATTATTTTCGGAAGCTGATTGTATTGTGGAATAATGCGGGATTTTCAAAGAAAGAACCTGAAAGGCTAGAGAAAGAAAAACTGTCGTTTAAGGAGAAGGAAGATAAAGCTGTCGAAGAAATAAAATTATCCCAGAAAAATATCTCTAGTTTGTGCCTGTACGCTTTGACCCTTCTAATTAGCAGAAAGGATTTTGGGAATTGTCGTTAATAATTAAGAATCTTGTAGTATTGTTTTTCAGATATAGACATTGCTAAAACCCAAATGCTTTGTATCAGACTATTAAGGTGTGTTATCACTATTCTTAACTGAATGTTCAATACTATTAATAAAAATTAATTATATTCATTAGCTCGGAACATACTTTATCTATAAATTCCAAAAAAAAAGTTGGGGAAAATTTCATATCAGAATATGAAAACTCGGTAAGAAAATTCATTCCAAAATATATTCAATTACTTTGCATTCAAATATAACATCAACTTAATAACACTCGCTTTTTAGGATTTAGATAAATAGGATCGATAATAATTCATCTTTTTCAAGAACTCGAAAAAGTTTCTTTAATTTTCTTTAATAGTTCAGACACATTATTTAAATAATATCTATAACATGACTTTTATTAAGTTTGTATTTAGTGATTTAAGTACTGCCACCATTGTAGTACTCCTTGTTGTTGTTATTATAGTTGTTGTTAGTACTGCCACCGTTGTAGTATTCCTTATTGTTGCCGTTGTAATTGTTGTTGTAGTAAGTGCTACCCCCATAGTGATACTCCTCATTATTATTGTTATTGTTAGTATTGCCACATTTGAAGTACCCTTCTTCGTTGTTGTTGTTGTTGTTGGTAGTACTGCCTCCATTGTAGTACTCTTTGTTGTTATTGTTGTTGTTAGTACTACCACCATTGTAGTACTCCTTGTTGTTGTTGTTGTTGTAGTAAGTGCTACCCCCATTATGATACTCTGCATTTTTGTTGTTGTGATAGTAGTTATTGTTTTTAGTACTGCCACCATTGAAGTACCCCTCTTTATTGTTGTTATTGTTGTAGTAAGTGTTATCCCCATTGTGATACTCCTCGTTGTCGTTGTGGTAGTAGTTGTTGTAGTTATTTTTAGTAGTGCCACTATTGAAGTACTCCTCGTTGTTATTGTTCGTACTGCCACCATTGTAGTACTCCTTGTTGTTGTTATTGTTGTAGTAAGTGCTACCTCCATTGTGATACTCCTCGTTGTCGTTATAGTAGTAGTTGTTGTAGTTGTGTTTAGTACTGCCACCATTAAAGTACACCTCATTGTTGTTGTTGTTGTTGTTAGTACTGCCACCATTGAAGTACTCCTCGTTGTTGTTGTTGTTATAAGTACTTCCACCATTGAAGTACCCCTTGTTGTTGTTGTTAGTACTGCCACCATTGTAGTACTCCTTGTAATTATTGTTATAGTAAGTGTTAACCCCATTGTGATACTCCTCGTTGTTGTTGTTGTTGTTGTTGTTGTTACTAAGGCCACTATTGAAGTACCCCTCGTTGTTGTTAGTACTGCCACCATTGTAGTACTTCTTGTTGTTGTAAGTGCTACCCCTATTGTGATATTCCTCGTTGTTATTATTGTTGTTGCTAGTACTGCCACCATTGTAGTACTCCTTGTTATTGGTGTTATAGTAAGTGTTACCCCCATTGTGATACTCCTCGTTGTTATTGTTGTTGTTAGTACTTCCACCATTGAAGTACCCCTCGTTGTTGTTGTTGTTGTTGCTAGTACTGCCACCATTGTAGTACTCCTTGTTGTTGTTATTGTAGTAAGTGCTACCTATATTGTGATACTCCTCGTTGTTATTGTTGTTGTTGCTAGTAGTGCCACCATTGTAGTACTCATTGTAATTATTGTTATAGTAATTGTTACCCTCATTGTGATACCCCTCGTTGTTATTATTGTTGTTGTTATTGTTGTAAGTACTGTCACCATTGAAGTATTTCTCGTTGTTGTTGTTATTGTTGTAGTAAGTGTTATCCCCATTGTAATACTCCTCATTATCGTTATTGTTATTGTTGTTAGTACTACCAGTATTTTTGTACTTTTCATCGTTGATGTTGTTATTGTCATCGTTCTTTAGGACACTGACATAAGCCACATGGTCATAATTCTTGGAAAGGTATTTGGTATTGTGAATATTATTAGTTAAGGCGGTGGTGGGATTGATTTCTTTGTAGGGTTTTTCTACATCATGAGTAGTGGTGGTTGAAGGAGGAAGTTGACCAGACTCATGACCATACAGGCCATAGCCATTATTTTCATTTTCAGGCAAGAAGTTTGATTCTTGTTGTTTGTTGGTAATAACCACTTGTGTTTTCTTTCCAGCATTGTTGTTGCCGGAGATTTTATTAAAGAATTGACTTTCTCTTGCATGGATTTGTAGTGAAGAAATGAGGATTAGAAGGAGAAAGATGAAGGAGCAATGCTTGGTAAAGGTAGCCATGAGACTTGAGAGAAAGAAAAAAGAAATAAACTTGTATAGGATCTTAGTGCAGTGAACTTGCTATGGTTGTTGCTTTATATAGAGACCATTTCTCGCTTTTAAGTGTGCAATATTTGAGTGTTTGAATTCTTTTTTTTTTTAAAAAGTTATTTTGCACTCTACCTTTCTTTTTGTTTGAGGTGAGAGGGAAGAGTAGGAGTTATTATCGCTTCCTTCCAAAATTTTTTGCCGATTAGGTGCAAATGGGGACATGTAAAATGAAGGAAAATAGTAGTCCTTGTGCACTAAATCACATAATATCGTACGAAAATTATTAGTTTTCGAGTTTAACATTTATGTACTGATAATATAAAAATTCTTTTTCAAATTAGTTAAAAAATAATTAAAAATGACTATATCTAATAAGTAAAATTAACAACTGAAATACTGAAGTAAATAATTTTTTTATAACATATTAAATTACACATTTAAAGGTTACATTACATCATCAGGAGATATAAATGCTTACTTCATTTCTTGTTTATAGATAGTATACTCTTTCTTTAGTTTTTATCATAGTTTTCTACTTTAGTAAAAGGAAGAGAGAAACAAAAGGAAAAGGAAAGGAAATGTGAAGATGAACGAAAATAGAAAATGTGATTATGCATGAATTTTGAAAGAGTGTGGGGAGGGGAAAGAAACTTCCATAGTGGAGACACTGAAAATTATGACATTTGAGGACCAATCAAAATCAAACATTACGTGCCCATCTCTTATATTATCTTCTATGAAATAAATAATTAAGACCTAACCTTTTCCATTTCGTGTATGTTTGATTGATCCTTTTCATTTTTCTACTCAATCTCAATTTGTATGCTCATTTGGTTTCTGTATATTTTTCCCGCTTCAAGTTTCTAAGTTATTTCATTCAACTTCTTCCTAAACTGGTGACAGATAATATTGATTTTGATCTTTGACATAGAAAATTTGAGAAAATAATAAAAATAGTTCTTAATGTATTGGAGATTTGTCAAAATTCTATTAAATTTAACCCTCTATCAACGTGAAAAACTAAGCCTCTGTTGAGAATGGTGGCACATCTCCTACTAAGTAGCAAATTCAGAAGAAGATGAAATATTTCTGAATTATTGGCAAGCTTTAGAATTCAATGCAGTAGTAGGCTCTTCTTCTTTTGGTTGTAGGTGAAACTACTCTTAACTCGGAAACACAATAGTAATATATTATAACTTATTAATTATACTGATTGTGTAAAAAAATTTATAAGCTACAATTTATCTAACTTAAATCCATTTGCAAGTATTATTTGTCCAAAATAAAAATGAACTTTTAATATATGGAAATAAGAAGAACAAAAGAAAAGAAGAGAAGAACGAGTTTTATCTTATGTTAGATAGAAGTTTTTTTTATGGCGAGTCAACAATGTTGGTGGAAATAATCGCTTGCTTTACATTTCTATATAATTTCCATAAATACAGGAAAATAGAAAAATAAAAGAAAAAAGATTCGCTGATAGTAGTATAATGAACCAAACATCTATCTATCTATATTTATATCTACAGTCAAATAAGAATATCAACACACACACATAGCTATTGGATCGAGAACAAGTAATATGGTCAGACTAATTTGGGATCCGGATTGAGTAGTGAGCCCAAGAACTATTCTATTAAAAGAGAAGAAGTCAGTGTGTCACGACACCAATTTCCTACCTTAGGATGTCGTGATGGCACCTATTCTATAGGACTAGGTAAGCCTAACACATGTTGATTATTAATGGAATTTAACTAACTTAACTGCAATGCCTTAAATAATATCTCTAACAACATAGCTGAACCAACAACAGTTACATAATCGCAAAACCGGTAGTACAAGTCATAAACCTTTCTAAGAGTAACTATATATGATGAATACATCACTGTTCTAGAATAATAGGAAACAATGGAAATAAAATACAACAGAAGGTGACTTCGGGATCTGTGAACGTCGAGCAGGTATACCTTGAAGTCTCCAGCCACGCAGACGTCAGTCTCAAAACTAACTCGATCCGAAGTACCTGGATCTGCACAAAAATGTGCAGAAGCATAGCATGAGTACACTGCAGTAGTACCCAGTAAGTATCAAGCTTAACATCGGTAGAGTAGTGACGAGGCCAGGTCAAGACACCTACCAGACATGTAAACCTGTGAGCACGTGAATTTTGCCACGCTTAAATTACTCCTATAAATTCCTAAGAATTAGGATTTTTCTTTATTATTTGAATTAATTGCATGATTTTGTGCCTTCTTTGTATTTTTGTGTGCATTTTAGTTGCCATAATTCATAAAAAAGTACAAAAAATAGTGCATTTGCATTTAGAATTCGATTTTATATTTTTAGTTTCACTAGTGAATTGACATTGCAAAAATAAGAGAAAATAGCAAAAATAGTTCTTTTGCATTTTTGCTGAGGATTTAGTTAATTTTAGAAAATTAATTAGTTTAATTCTAGAGTTAAATTAGGTCTTTGTTATTTTTAATTTTTGCATTTAATGAAAAAAGAATAATAATAATAAAGTACAAAATAATAATAGTAAGAAAAAGGAAAATGCAAAAATAGAAGTCTTATTAAAGACCCACGTTTTGGGCCAAATGTGATTCAAGCCCAAATCAAAACCCCTCAACCAGGAACCCCTCAAATCCGTTAACCCAGCCCAAGACCCGCGTCACAACCCGGTCCAGGTCCCCATAACCCCAAAACGACGTAGTTTAGGCCCTAATCGATCCTAGCCGTCTAGGTTTCTTAATCCAACGGACGAGAAGCCTAGATAAAAAACTATATATATGCCCAAACGATCCTACCCCCCTCAGGACCCCCCTACCCTCTCATCTCTCAAACCCCTCACCGGAAACCCTAGTTCCGCCGCATGCCACCGTCTGCGATTAGCATCAATTTCACGCGAATCAGAACATCAAGCAGAGTTGCAAGTTTAATTAGTGAGTTTGTTCTTAAACTGTTTTTCCTTCATTATTTGTAGATTTTTTTTCTTTAATGTGTAGTTTTCTGCCTTGTTTTTCTTCCGATTCATCCTCAATATTTCTTTCGTTTTGTTTTAGGATTGATTTAGGGTTGTGATTTGTTCGATTACAGTGTAATTTCGTTCCTGTTATCTGATTTAATTGCCTGTTTAATTTTAACCCTAGGATGCCCTGTTTGCTACTGTTTTACATTTGGATAGTGTAATTTCAGTTCTATTTGATGATTAGTTGTTAGTTTATTGTCTTGTTAGTTTAATGACAAATTTAGCCTGGTAAATTAATTTCTAAGTGCTGCTCGAATTGGTCTGGTTATAGCTGATCATTCCAACTCCTTAGTTAATTTTGAGCAGGGTAAAAGGGGGTGGGTTTTGTTTAAAATAGTTAGTAATTTTAGGATCAATGCAGGGGCAATATAGGTAAATTAAGTCAAGGAATCTTATAATAACTGATTTGGAAACTCCTAGAGTCTTCTAGATGGGGTTAAAAGTAGCATTTCAAGCAACCTAATGTAGTACCTNGGGTTAAAAGTAGAATTTCAAGAAACCTAATGTAGTAACTTGAGAAAGAAGTCAGAAAATAAAGGATTATTTGGTTAAAACAGAAAAATAAAAGAGGGACTAAGGGTGTAAAGTTGAAAATCTGAGAGAACCCTCAAGTTTGCCTATAAAGGACGTGCACTCTGCCTTCATTCACAAGTTTGGACAAATCTGAAAAATCCCTCAAAGTTTCTAGAAGTTTTGGAACCCCAAAAAAATTCCCCCCAAAACCCTCTCTGCAGATCTGAACCTAAAATTTGAATTTCAAATCAATAGAAGTTCAAAATATTCCTCTAGATCTTAGTTCCTAAAAAACAAAACCAAAAACAAATAAAATCCAGTAGAAAAATCCAAAAATACATTGTTTCATTCAAGTTCTTAGCTAATTTCTAGTGATCGTAGCTGATTTGCATTTCTTAGTTCAGTTTCTGGTAATTTGAAGTGTCGTAGGTGTTTCTGTTTGATTTCGAGTAGTTTTGGGGTTCAATCGAGTCATTTTGGCCATCAGTCGAGTGCTGCATTTCTGTGGTGTGTTACTGGTTTTGGGTGAAGCTGTTTTTGGTTCGAAATTACTCCTGTTGACTAGTTATTGCTGTTTGTGAGTGTTGGATATTAGCTGTTGTTACCCGCTGCTGATTTCCTCTTCTTCTTCTTATATTTCACAAATCCAGGTACACAATTGTATCCCTGATGACTATGAGCAGAAAATATGCAGAAATAAAATTATGTTAAAAACAAATTGAGTGCTGATTTAGTTTATGTCCAGATCTGTATACTCAACACTTAAGTTCATTAATACTGTTCAAATTTTTGCTTGATATGTATTAAATGGACTGTATAAACTGTTATGTACCAGGTTCATGTATATGAGTTGAATGTTAAGGGTAATGAGCTTCATGATAAGTTGACAGATGATTTGTGAATCATTTCGGATTTGTGTGAGTAGTAGAACACACAATTAGTAGCATTTTCACAGTTTGAGTTTGATTACCATGATAATCTAAAGTACACGATTGTATGATGCTTCTGTCAGTTCAAGTTTCTAGTTAAAAGGAAGTAGCGTTTGAGGCAGACGGTCCAACAGGATTTCAGGTTTTAACAATTAAGTGCAATAGTCTAGCTTATTTGGCAATGCTAGCTGAGTTAATTCAAAAATAACTAGGTTTGCTTTGTGCTGTCACAATTGCGTTTCCAGTCTGCTTTGCAATTGTAGTTATATCCATGAAATCATCAGTAGCTAAATAAGTAAAATAATCTGAGTTTTGATCTAGGATTCTAGTGATCAATATTTCATTAATTCGAATAGGTTAATATTGCTTTTCCTTGATTATAAATTGCTGAACACATTTTGAACAACTTGGAGCAGTCTCAATGAATATTTATTCAATTTGAATCGGGGCCGGGCTTGATTTTAACAGCCCATTTTAGACAGTTTGGGCCTCAGGACTTT